ACGCCATGAATTAATAATACTGTTTCTTAATTATCTAATAAAAACTCATTCACTTCCCCTTCTTTATCATATAGATTTTCTAAATTCATCAATATACTCTTTTCTTCATTCTTTTACCCTTTGTCTAATTTATGAAATATCTCCTATGTTTATAATGGTACATATATAGATCTTATATTTTTATTTGCTGCTTCTTTCAACACTTTCGATTTTCTAATATCAAAAAGTTCTTCAACAGATTTTCCTCTCAGAAATTTTATGTCATTAGTCAAGCTGCTTAGTTATTTCTTCATCTCATTAATTTTTCCCTCGACTCTTATCAAACCTTTTCTGATATGATTAACGAAGTCGGTTATCAATTTAAGTTATTATCCCATTTCACTGATATTTTGAATATATTCATCTAATTCCTCAGTTGTTTCATCCATTTCTTTCAATTATAGCTCTCGTTTGTTCACATTTGCTTCTTGAGTAATTTATTCTTACAAAAAATCGATTCGACTCAGCATTTATTACATTTCTCCTTCAATTCTATCGTTTTAAGTCTACCATCCTTTCTATAAAATTTACATTTACAAACTTATCAAGTTTTAGTGTTTTAATAAATTTCTAACTCTTTAATCTTTTTCTTAAACCCACAATTAAATTAAAACTTATTAACAAAATTACATAATTGTATCTGTGAAGCAATTTGATGAAATCTAAATTATAGTAAAAACTAGACCCTATTTAATTTTCCACTCCTCATTATTTTTAAAGTCTTTATACTTTTGATTCAACACATCAAATAACCCTATTTGTTGATTTGATTCTGCATCATCTTCATCCTCTTCCTCTTTTCCTAATAGATATATTGTTTTAACTTATTGAATAAGATATTCTTAATCAAATTATTATTCTGAGGGGAAACACTTTAGTTCTCTTAATTTTAATTGTGTCTCAAGCAAAAAATAATTGAGAAAATCACAAATATTTGTTTATACTGTTCTAATGCTATCATTTTTTTCATATTGAATTTATAATATACTGATTTGTATTCTATCAAAATACTCTTTAAATGATTCATTTTGCATTTAATATAAGTTAGCAGTTGTCCAAAATGATTATTCAAATTTATTAATATGTTCTTTGAGGCAATTAAGAAAAATATTTGTAATTTTTCTTTAAATCTCTTTTTTATAGTCCTGAATTACAACAATAGAATTTTTGGGGATAATTTATAATTACATTGAGGAGAAATTCATCCAAATTGATAACTTGTTATAACTATTAAAATTCTTCTAATTAGGCTAGAAATATATTTTAAAAGGACTCCTTCATAGCAGTTAGCATTAATTTGAGCTTTAAATTCTTCAATCTTAACTTATATACAAATTCAAATGATAAAATATTAGAAATTTATTATTAAATTTCTCCAAATTCTTAAACAGACTATATTTCATACTATGAAATTAAAATTGCCTTAAAACTTAAAATAGATTTTTTAACATCTTTTTGAATTTTATCAACCATATGATCTTATTCAATATATAGATGATTCAATAAACTTTCAATAAATTTACATTTTTTAAGTGAAATTTCTTCTAGCCTTAAGATTTATTTCTTAGAATCTTCAATCAGTTTTAACATGCTTTTAGCTTTTTTCAAAAAGCCCTTTTAGTCAGGAGTTGCAATTAGCAAGTCAAGAAGTTACTAGTATAACTTGTTAACAAATGAAAACTGGTTATCTTTCAGATTTAGATTTTTTAATTGCTCCTAAATCGACTCTTTCTATTACTAAAGTATTATTATTTCATCATTTAAGCCATCTTGCTTGCAGAGTTGATTTATTTTATTTTTAATTTCTTAAATTGCTTATAATAATATTTCTTCTAAGAGTTACATCAAATATTTAAGTTAAAATAATATATTAAATTCAAATGGCTATTAGAATTATTTAGCCGAACAGTTATTGTATATCTAATTAAGATTAAAAATCTTAAGAATTTTTTATGTATTTTGCAAATATTCATCTAAGTTGCAAATTATCTTTTTTAATTAAGAATCAACAGTGCTTTATAATAGTCTTTTGTTTACCCACTCATTTTTCCTAAATTATTTCTAAACTTTAATCACCTCCCCCAAATTTACATTATTTTATTTTATTAAATTAATTAATTTAGTTGGAATAATGAAACTTAAAAGCATTTTCATTTTCTCAATAGTTAAAATTTTTTCATTTTTTTAGTAATCTTTTCTAAATAAATCTAATTTAGATTTTAAATAGGAACGAATTGTATATGGTGTATTTTCATTTAATTCACCAATTAAATATTGTTTAATTATAAGAAAGTCTTCCCATCCTTTGAAACTATCTTCCAACATATTTCTATCTAGTTATATCAGTTTATTATTTTAAAGTTAACTAAGTAAAATAACAGCTTAGTCATTTGAATGGTTTGTTTAAATAATTAATCCTTTTTTCTGATATTCCTTCCACATTTGCCCAAAATTAGCTCCAAAATCGTTTGAGTTCATTAACTAATTTAATCTTTGTTTTGTTAAAAGAGGATTATAAATTAAGATTTTCCCAATCATTTAAATCCACAAAAAATGATTTTTCCAGTTTTTTGAATTTTTCACAAGATTTTCATATATTCCCTGAATTTGTAAAAGTATTTCTTTAAGAATTAATAATTTTTCATTTCTAAAAAATCTTATAATTTCCCATTATAACATGTCAATTTAAAAATACACCTCATATTATTTTCTATTTTTTTAAATTGTATGTATGTTGTGAATTTTGCAGGCTGCCATAAATAAGGATTCAAGTAATTAAGCATTCGGTTTCAATTGTATTAACGATTCAAATATACCACTTACAAATCCTTTTACAATATCTTACCTTTCGTGATTATTATTTGGAGCCATTTCGAAAGAAGTTTTCGTTAAGAAAAGATAAACTTCTATTTAAATTTAAATCAAATCATTCTTCTCTAATTCTATTTATTATTTTAACTCATCAGAAATGTCTAAAAATTCCTTTTATAAATCAAAATTCATAATTCTATCACTATTCATTACATGGAAACTAAATATAACTTTTGATAGTGATGCTGTAATCTATAAGATATGCAAACATTTAAACGAGTCTGTTCTAATATAGATCAAACAACTTTTCAATAATTTTCGGATTCCCTCTACAATAAGGTTGTATGATTTCATGATATTTTAGGGATTCTGATTGAGTTTGTATATGTTTTCCTCTTAAAAAATAAACCATTGTATGGCTATCATTATTTCTTAAGATTCTATTGAATTGATAGCAACATCAGCTTTAGCACAAATTATTTCAACAAAAGAATTAAATTTGGTAATGAAAATCTATATATCTTAAATATCTGACTGTAAGTTTCCATATGTTCTTGGATTCATTTTAAAAGATCCACAACCACCTCCCCGTAATGAAGATGTTATCGTATTGACTAAGGCTAACATTTTTTGTAATAAAATTTAAATAATAAATCCATACCGGTATAAAAATGTATAAAAACTTAAATTAATTAATACTTAATTATTATAATGATAAAAAGTTTCTTATTTTAAAACGCAATTAACTAATATATCAACTAT